GTAAAATATATATTTTTAAATAGTATAGTTTTCAGCATCATTGCCTTTTGCTGTCAATCATGGATTATTGCCACTATTTAGAAATATGTCAATGTATTAATTTATTTGTATTCATTTTCCAGTAAAATAGATGTATAATAATTAATGTATAATCCAATGAGTTACTGATATTATTAATATCGTAGGTTAGTGAACCAACTGCTAAATAAATTTATCTCTTCATAATCCTAATAAATACCATTTCCAAAACAATTTTTACACAGTGAATTCAAGCAATAAATTAAAAATTAATACCTATGATAGAATTGGTTCAGGATAGGTGTTAACATTTCATTTTACACTTAGCATTATATATCACCTGCTTTTCATTAAGTTGACACTTAATATTTATTTCCTTAAAGTGGATATATAAAACAGAAAATACATTTGAAGTATACGAGCTGGTAGGTCTGGTACTTGTTTAGAAGTGCTGAATTATAAATGTCAGCGGGGGTCAGAAAGACCAATGCAATGACCCAAGTGAGAAAACTCCAAAGAATTCTAATAAGAGTAAAAGATCTACTAGTTCATCCCATTACTTGTTATATTTGCCTTGTTTGAAAGGTTCACAGTATAAGACAGTAGCAAAAATCTGTTATTTTTATACTTTTCTGTTTTCTATTATATGGCTTAACCTGTGACATTGACAAAATACATAGTAAATAAGTTTTAGAGTTTTTTTCTTGCCAACTATGTGATGTCTCAGGGACCTAATGTTAAATATTGTCAATTAGGTTTTTTTTTTTTTTACCAAAAAGAAATGTAAAAACTTGGAGGTTATAGCAAAGCTGTGTTCAAAGGTGTTTGCAGAAATAAGTATCAAGTTTGATATAATAAATCCATCTTCAAAAGAATACATTTCAAGGTATTTTAATAAAATATGTCTATTAAAGATTAATGAAGTATCTCCAAAGCAGTGTAAGTTTTTTTTTTTTTTAAAGATTATATGTAAACATGTCTTCAATCCAATTTCATTGGCCCACTTTTTCTGAGATCTTGGGAAACGTACTAAAAGACATATTTTGGTTACACTAAAAGAAAACAACACTATCTAGTTTAAAGAAAAATGGTGACATCAATTCAAAGTGACTACCAAGATCCAGGAGTACTTTATGAACTCAGTGGCTAGAATGCAACCAGTCTCCAGAAGGAGACTGGAACCTAGAAATGAACAGTTCCCTCACCAGTAACAGGGTGAATGATATTTCTCTGCTCTCTGTGTCTGTTTCAATGTGTTGCCTATATTCAGAAAGCACAAGCAAAAAGATGGCTGTGTTCTGGTGTTCAAGTGGTTAAGAAACTGATATAGAAACTGAATGATCCTGATCACAATTTCAAACCTTCATGAGAAGGGATATTTATTGATTCAGACCATGTCTAATGCCTACACACCTGATCCTTGGTGGTCTCACACTTAAATAACCTGATAAGGCACTCACCTATTCCTTCACCAGAGAATATTTCATATGTGAAGTAGTGATCTACAGTCATTATTCTTAATGATTAAAAAAATTATCCATTAATTTGCCCATTCAAAAAATACTTAACAAAAGTCTATGATATTTTAGGCACTGTACTAGGCAGCAATTAATCAGATAGCAAAAGAGATAAACAAGATATCTGGGTAAACTGCTCTTATGAATCATAGAAATTAGAGCAGTTTATGACCTTGCTAATTAGAGATCAATGTAAGTATGAAAAACCTTTTAAAAACAAAAGTGATTTCTTAAGTTCCTAATGGCAGAAACTAATTCCAGAATGAAATGTGAGATTTCTATCCCTGATGTCTTTCTAAACACATTATAGTTTTGGGCCATTCTTAGAGAAAGAAAAATTGCATGTGTCTGTAAGTTGCTCCATGAATTATAGTTACATAAATATGCCTGAGGGCTATGTAATCCATAGGATAGATTAATGCAAATTTACTATTCACTCATATAATTCAAAGCATTGAAATTATAGTATAATCTACAGTCACTAGATTCCTTTTACATGGACTCTAGTTATTGCAATGTGTCAATTTTGGACAGATTATGTACTTTGAAATGATCCCATTCAAGCACCTCTTTGATGAAATCTTTCCTGAATTTGTCAGAATTAGCCATTCCTTTCTTGGCCCAGCACCCACACCTTCTATTAACACAAGAACATGCCTTCATTATTCTGGCTTCTTATTTCTGTCTTAACAACTATAAAATTTTATAGAAGTCTATATATGTACAAAATATATTTAGTATACATTATATGGACATTAACAAACATATTTGCAGTACTTATGTATTATACTTCTGTAACCTTCTACAATACTACAATACTGTGGAAATGGAGAACAAAGGATTACTTGGTATTGGATCCTTGGGCCAAGATCACTTGTTGAGTGAATAAACATATGTAACAATTAGAAACGGTTATTGTCCAAAGGAACAAAAGATAGGTGAAACAAAAAAGATGTTATTAATATGCAAAAAAGCCTATTCAAGTTATCTTTAAGTGAAAAGCTGAAAATAGAGGCATATGCATGGGTTAATACAAAATGTATATGAACTTTTTGAGATGCAGCTTTGAAACCAAAACTTACTGTTTTAAATAAACAACTTGTTTCTTGATCCAGGTGGAAACCTTGATACTCATTTTATTATTTCCCGAATATGTTCATTCTATTAACTTATTTTTTACTTCAGAATGGTTTCTTAAAAAGTAGGCTATCCAACCATATAGACCATATTACTCAAATATCTTTATTTCATATTTTGTATTTCTAAAGATTAAAAACTGAAGTTTATTTTTGATTAAGCTATTCTGTTACCTGTAAGATCTCAAAAGTTATACAACTTTAAAATATATAATAATCAGTTTTATATTACTTATTTCTTTATTTTTTTAATTTATTGATTTTTAGAGAAAGAGAGATGGAGAAAGAGAAACAGCTATTTGTTGTTCTGCTTATTTATGCACTCATTGGTTGCTTCTTATATGTGGCTCAATTGAAGATCGAACCCGCAACCTTGGCATATGGGGATGACAGTCTAACCAACTGAGCTATCTGGCCAGGGTTTTTATGTTATTTATTTTAAAGAGCATTACTTCTAATATTGGTGACTATATTTTTTTAAGCTGGTATAATCTATATCTATGCTACATATCCTATTAATTCTTGCGTAACAACAAATTCTTAGTTGGACAAATACCACATAGCAAACAAAGGAAATACATCACAAGAAGAAAAACAAGGATCTAAGGTTGTCTTTATAATATTTTTGTATTATTTTGATCTAATAGAGTATTTAAACTATTTATCTCTCTGGATTCCAAATCCAGAGCTCAGTTTTTCTTTCTACAACATCATTGAGTTCCTCGACATTTCTAAACAAATTTACAAATCAGCTCATACACCATGATTTCATTTTGATGTTGAAGAATAAAATCTACCTGAAAATAATCAATCATGACAAGCTAAAAGCTTGCAAGCAAATTTTAATAACTAATACTCAGATGTATTCTTTTGAATGGCTGCTATGGGATAACTTGTATGTGTCTCTTTCTCAAAATAACAGTCCAAAATTGAAAAAGAAAAAGTTAAGTTCTTTACAGGCCCTCTCATTCTAGGATTTAGATAACTTTTATTATCTATTTTGATTTAAAAAAGTCATAATTAAACATAATTATTAAAAAAGAATCTTTGACATACGAATCATAGCATCAGAGTCATGTCAACCAACGGTATAATATAAAAAAAACCTTTATTTCCTATACCATACCAATACAATAATCATTTTAAAAACAGATATCATATGCCTCATAATATTATTTAGATTTTGAGATGGTTCATTTACTACAGTTATTATTATTTATATACATGTTTATTATATTCAAAGTATTTAAAATCACTTTTTTTACTACTTACATAAGTATAGATTTATCAAAATTTCCATGGTCCTTTGAATAATTTACTATCCACTAAATTGGTTACTGTAGTATGATTCTTCACATCATTTTTGTCTTGATTTATACAAATGTGTAAATACTATTGAAAACAAGATCATATGTATCCTAAGGATGTTATATATCCTATTAATTCTTGTATAAAGAATAAATTGTTAGTTATACAAACAACCATATCCCCACCTCACTTTGTCAAAAGTCTTTGAAGGTCAGATTTTCCTATACCTATTTTGGTTAAAGCAAAACACAAAAACCTGTAGGCATTAAGCACTAATGTAGCCTGTTTAATAGAATAGGGATAGGTACCATTCAAACAAATTTGTAAAAGGACACTAGTTGCCTGGGTAATTTGTATATACAAGTAATGGGTGGGTCAACAGTAGGTTTACAGTTGTGAGTACATAAAACAATGTATTCTTGTGTTATTATTTATTAATTATTATATAATTTTTATATGAACTACTACTAACTTACTTCCTCCACCACCCTGTATGCATTCATGTTGATCCACATAAGTACTTGCAATTCCTGTGAGTCTCTTTTAAATAATTGCAGGTTTTTCAAAACAAACATCATTTTTCTTCTAAAGGTAACATTATTGGTCTCATTATGGTAACATAAAATAATCTAAAATTTCCAAAATGATAGGAAATGGAGCAGAAAGTAGATTATGAGCTAAACTTACAATTAATAACTAATTGGTCTACTGACTCTTCTAGTTTTCCTCTTGCTTGTAATTTCAGAAAACAACAAACTTGCTAGATATCATACACTGCACCCTCAAAGAATCTCTATCCATCTTGGGGCGACAGTAGCTGCTCTACACTCAGGATGCCAATCATTACGGCATTGCAACTCTTGTTCTCTCCCTGCGTGTACCTTGGTACCTCTTATCTTTTGCCTACAATGGTCCTTGCTGGTCAGAAGAGCATAGCCATCAGGTGCAAACAAGCTGGTCTATCTTTATGAATCGCGACACCACTGTTCACTCACAAAGAGAAAGAAAGAGACAGCTTTACCCGCAGAAAGGAGAGGTCGCGGTTGTGCTCAATGCTGGTTATCTCCAAGTTGCCCATGACCACCTCACAGTTCTCATAGTATTTGCGCAAGGCTCGATACTGCTGCTCCAGGTCAGAGAGAGAGCTCAGCTTATTCTCTGTTCCCGCACACACTGCCAAGACAAGAAGATTCACGGGGAGTTAGATAGCCTTTATATGATATGTACAATACAATAATATCTTTCTCAACTCTGTATTCCACAACTCTACTACAAGCCCATGAATTCAAATATTTTTAAAGTTATTAAGATCTGTGACCTGCACACTGATAAATGTCTGCACTTTTATTTTTTTCAGATTCATTGAGATATAACACTGTGTAAGTTTAAGGTGCACAACACATTGATTTGATACATATGTTTCAAAATGATTATCAACAGCTAGCTAACACCGCGATCATCTTACATAATTACTATTTCTTTTTTTGTGGCAAAGACAATGAAGATTTATTCTCTTAGCAACTTTCAAGTGTGTAATACATTATTGTTAACTAAAACCACCACCCTGTACATTAGAGTTCCCAAAACGTATTCATCATATAACTAGAGGTTTATGTTCTAACTCTCTCCCAGTTCTCCTATCCACGAGTCCCTGGTAATCATCGTTCTTTTCTCTGTTTTTATGAGTCAGGTTTTCTTTAGATTTCACATATAATATTACACATTTATGTTCATAAATTGCATGTACTAACCACAGAGAGAAAGAAGGCATAGGTTCTACAGAAACATGGCAAGGAGATAAATTTAAAATCACATTTTTTTAAAAAAAGCAATTGTAATATTTTTATTTATTGTTGCTCAGGTACAGCTGTTCCCCCTTTTTCCCCATCGCTCCTCCCTGCCCCACCCCCCACTCCCACAATCCCCTCATTGTCGGTGCCCATGAGTCCACTATTCATGTTTCTTTGCTTGCTCTGTGAACCTATAAAGCACATATATACACTTAATTTCATTTGAACAAGATTTTCCTTTGGGCTTATAATTTACTCTCCTTTCCAACAGGATAAATTCTACATATGCAAGTAAATGAAAATCAAAAAATGATAACAGTAGTATTTTTTTATTTTTTTAAAATGGTATTTTTCTATTGTAAAATAAGCTGTTCTCACTGAGGATATTTTCTATATAAAACTTGTGCTTAATTTTAAACCCTCAGAATACTACCTTTTAAAATACAAATATTAAACAACTTGGACTGAAACATTTACAAAAAGACTGTGTAATGAAATATAAATTTTTATTGATATAAATAAGGTCATCACCACATACATTCATCAGTGTTCTGAGGTGTAATAGACTGGTAATAAATGATTTTTGTTTGCCATCTTTGGGGTATGGTTGTAGAATCTGTTCATATGTGAGCACATGAGTGTTCAGATGTGTGTTCTTTGGTTTTGGCTGCATGTGTTTGTGTTGATATCTTTTCTGTCCTCTAGAAGTCAGATTTAGTTATTGCTTCTCATGGCTTGTATACCTCCCTGAACAAAATCTATACCATTTAATGCACCAACTTGAATCAGTAATGGACTGAAAAACTGTATTATAAATCTTACAATAATAGTATGTAAAGTAAAAAATGGATGGTGAAGGAATATCTTTGAGTAAGTTATTAATATACATAAAATATAAGGCAAAATATAAAGTGTAAACTTTGAAGATACTGTCATATACACAACTGAACATGATGTATACAGAAATGACAAAGGATGTGTTATTCAATGAAATGGGTTTCCGTACAGAAAGGGAAAAAAACTAGATGGGTATAGTCTAATAATTTGGACCACCTTACAACCTGCTTTTGCCTATTGACAAAATTATTAAAAATTATTAAAAATAAGAAAAGTTAGAATCTAAATGTCTTGAAAAATAATGTAGAACTTTAATCATAGTGGAATCACATTATGAAAACAAAACACACACTATTTCTGTCTGGATATTTAAAGCTCATCAAACAGTATATGTTCTAGAAATACTCTTTTAAAAGTGGAACTTTGTCATCTTAAAAGATTTATTGGAGTCCTAACCCCTGGTACTTGTGAATGTGACTTTATTTTGAAATAGGTTCTTTTTAGATATAAACAAGTTAAAATAACGATATCAGGGTGGGCCCTAATCCAGTATGATTCATGTCCTTCTAAGAAGAAAACAGGATGCCAATACACAGGGAGAAATCCACGTCATCACAGAAGCAAAGATAGGAGTGATGAAGCCAACATCCAAGAAATGCCAAGAATTGATTGTTACCACCAGAAGCAAAGAAGAATCAAGGAAAGATTCTATCCAGAGTCTCAGAGGGAGCATCACCCAGCTGAAACCTTGGTATTGGACTACTAGGCTCTAGGACTGTGAAGGAATAAACTGCTGCTGTTTTAGGCTATCTAGATTTCAGTACCCTAACCCTGTTAGCCTAACCTTACCCCTAACCTTAAGTTTAACTCCAAGGTGATCAGAGAAATGTAATCTTTATTTCAGGTGGTAACATGCCTGGCTAAAATTGTGCAGTCTGTTACTGTGAAGGAAGAGGAGAATGGATGTTGAGGATTCTAGACATCTTTGCATCCATTCTTATGACTCTGCAAAAATTGCATTCCCAGAGCAACACATGGATTCTAGTGTGGGGCATGAGGGGCTTGGTATTTGGAAGGGAGGACAGTGTGGAGGTGATAAGCTTATAGAACTCTGGAGAATGGTGATAGTTAACATTTTTTTTAAATGTGAGGTTTCAAAAAGAAATAGTCTAAAAATTAGATATTTGTTTTCTAGGGCTGTCATAACCAGGAACTGAGTTATGCCATATTGCATGATACCATCCTAGGGCATTGTTTAATGCTTAGTTGGAGCCTGACTTTGCTCCTTTCTTCTTCACACCTTCTTCCAATCTGCTCCCTGAAATAGACATGTGATGGCTTGAATTTGAACCATCATCTTGGACCATAAGAATGAGGGGTATGCCTTAGAGATGGCTGAGAAATGAGCTAAAAGGAACCAGAGTTTTCAACCAATTGAGGTTTTACATTGTTTTATTATCATTAACATCAGGATAATGATGAATGTTGGTTCTAGCTGCTGAAATACTATACATAGAAAGGATTAAATTCTAGTTAAATTATATGCTTTTGACCTTACATAATTTTTAACAACTCTGCCTGGGCATTTGACTGAATTTATTCAAATCATAATGAAATGACAAATTTATTATTGATCATATGAACATTTAACTGGTTTTGTGAAAGTTCCCATTGTTATTAAAACCAACAAACACTTAAAATAAAATTCCTATTGGAAACTACAATAATATTCAACACAAGCAGGAGAACAAGAAGCAATGATTTATGTGCATGATCTTTGTCATCAAGATCAAAATCCAGCTCCTTTTCCCAATACACTCTAGATACTTTCTAAGAAACAGCATAATCCATGATTTTCATTACATTACTCTCAGTAGATTGATAACAAAATGTTTATAAACTTGTGAAATGTCTGTGGAGAAAAGCTACCATTATATGGGTCTATGCAATAGTTTTCAATTATTTTAATTTCCTTTGAAAGCAAGCTTATATTTCAATGCAACTACTAATGGGGTTAATTAAGCATTAATTAATAAGCTTGCTACACCATTTCTAAACTATATACAATGACACACTGCAATTTATGCGTAACTTGTATTCTACAAGTTCCTTTCAATTGGAAATAAACCCTTATGTTAATATCAATATATAAAAAAATCAATATGCAAACACTAAATGAAAAGATTTTAAATATTTAGTGTTTTCATAGAACCTTATACAAATTATGAAACATCTATTAATATAAATGTCATATATTATTGCATGTGTCTAATTCTGCATATATAAAAGAGGTATACAGTAGATTATTATTACTAATTTTTATTACAAATATATGTTTCTATAAGAAACCCACATAGTCTGTAAACTCTTTGAAGACTGGTGCAATATATTAATCATTATTTTGAATCTGCTCATCTGCTGAGATATAGAGCACAGTGCTTTGCAAAAAAACTACCTTTTAATTATATTCCTTTAATTGTTAAAAAGGGGAAAGGTCTAACCAACGAGCAGGTGTGGATGACCCATGGACGTGGACAGCGGGGTGGGGATTGACGGTGGGGGCGGGGAGGAGCGTGGGCGAGGCAGGGGAGAGCAACGGGAAAATTGGGAGAACTGCAATAAAACAATAGAAAAAATGAATATTCAGAATATGACCCTCAGTTCAGAAGAGTCTATCGTTCAATCAGTGTTCAGCCGTGTTTTGTATATACCATATGAAAGATATTTTTCAACGAAAAAGTAATCCTTCAATAAACAAAAAATCTGACTAATCAGACTATTCTATTTTTCTAATATTTTGGTCCTTGGAGCTTTTACTACACGCAGTTCCATTTTGGAAATATTTTTTTCAGTGAGAAATCCCTGTGTATTTGTTTGACACAAGCTACCTATAATAAGCAATATATTCCTCTTAACTTTTATCTTGAAAGACAGACTTGATTTTAAAAGAACAAGTTTGGAGAGAAGCATAAAAATCATTTGTATTTCTCCTCATGATGCCTTCACTGAATGCCTCACAACTTCCATTTGTCAATCGATTTTACAATCAGGCAATGTATACAAGACAATGCTGAAACCATCAAGTTTCATTGATTTCACACAGCTGTTTATCAAACAGAATTGAAAAATCATTTTCACCAGCCCAAACACGTTTAACAAAATGCAGCCCCCTTTGCCAACACTATAATAAAGTCCTTAAACTATAAGCTTCCAAGAGTTCAAGCTTGAAAAATCCTGAATTTACATATGCTCCTTAGAGTTTTCATTCCAGCTGCAGCTCGACGAGTAAAACCATATATGTGAGGCCTTAAAATTGCCAGTTATTCTATTTTGTAAGATTCTATTGTAAAAGTAGCCATAGTTGCAAACATGGATTTTTATTCTTTTTGAGTTAATATTTGCATCCAACAGTGAGTGAACTACATAATCGTCATTCAGGAAAATAATAAATAGATAAATCTATAATTGGGATTTTGAAGCAATACAAAAAGGTTGATTAACAATATTATTCATTTGACTCATGGGGGAAATATATTAGGAGTAAAA